CAGTACGAGCCCATCGTCACCAAGGGCAACGAGGCCCTGGTGCACCACATGGAGGTCTTCCAGTGTGCCGCCCAGTTTGAGACCTTCCCCCAGTTCAGCGGGCCCTGCGATTCCAAGATGAAGCCCGGACGCCTCAATTACTGCCGCCACGTGCTGGCCGCCTGGGCCCTGGGTGCCAAGGTACGTGCCCCCGCCCCCCTCTCCCGGCCTCCTCTGCACTCCTTGGGGTCCCGCCCCTTCCGCGCCTGTGTCCCCCGGCCTCTCCGTCTGAGAGGCTCCAGAGGGTGCTGGCGAGGCCACCAGAGAGGCCCCCGCCCCAAGTCAGCCCCAGGCCCGGCAGTGCCCCCACTGCTCTCGGGCCCGGAAGGCTCTTCTACGAAAGTGCACAACGTGAGCGTGGGCACTTTGTGGGTATCGATCTCATTTCCCCGCTGGATGTGGGGTTGTGCACAGGGTGGTCCTGGCTGGCGGCCTCCACGAGCTGCACCGAGGGGCTTCCGCCAGCCGCTCCCGCCGCCGATGCAGAGGGCGCCGCAGGGCCGAGCGCAGGGCCCGGGGGTGGGGGTAGGCTCGCCGTGGGGCGCCGGCTCCCTCTACTCCTGACCCCGAGTTGAATAGGGACATCCGGGCGGGCTGGTAATGAGCTGCCCGTCAGCGGGAGAGCCTCGTTCTGATCCTGCTGCCTCACCGACACCCCACGCCGCAGCTCAGGCCCCAACGGGTGGGTGGGTTTGCCCCGACCCGCGTCTGGGAGCCCCTCATGAGACGCCGGTCTGCCTGTCTGGGCTGCGGTGCCCAAACCGCCTGGCACTCCTCCTTCCCCACCCTGCAGGCCTTTTATTACCCGGAGGAAGCAGGCCTTGCTTTTGGGGGCAACGGGTCCTCCAGATTTCTCCGTCTGGAAGTTCACTACCACAACCCGCTGAAGATCCAAGGTACGGATCTCTGAGCGCGCATTCCTACCCCTGTGCTCCCTGGACTCGGGGAGTCCCTGTGCGGGGACTCAGCCAGCTGCAGTCTGGGAGGGGCTTGGGGTGACCCCACTCTCCGAGGTCCAGCCTCCTCAGACGCCCCATCGAGGCATGGCAGCCTCTCAGGCCTTTCCCTCTGCTCCTCTCCCGTGACGGCAGAGCACTCCCCGGGACGGGGCCCCGGCTGGCTGGCTCATCGCTGCACCCCACGCAGTGGGGGCTCGGCACCCCCATCTTTCTCGAACGCACCCACTGCCAGAACCACCCTCTGGGAAAGGCAGGCAGAGGTTTCTTGCCCATTTGCGGATGAGGAAATTAAGGCCCAGGGGTGAAGGGCGAAGGGTGAAGGGACCCCCACCAGGGCCGCAAAGTGGGCAGGAGGGGCCAGGAGGTCTGGGTCTGGACCGTGGGCGGCCTCAGCCACGTATCCTCCAGTGGCTGGACCCACACCTGAACCGCCAAGGTGGGGCAGACTCCAGAGCTGTAAGGAATCACTTAGGTACTGGTTCGGTCCAGCGGCCCGCCCTCCTCCCCACACCCCGTCCTCGCTCTGTAGTGGGGCCGATAGGCTCAAGCTCAGTGAGGAGAGGTCCCGGGCCAGAGCACTGTCCCCGGTTTCCCTGGAAGTCCCACTTCTCTGAGGCCGTCAGACCAGTAGCTGCCTCTTGTCTCTAACTGTCCCCCCCCCCCCCCAACGGGTGGCCTCCAGCATCCAGGCCCGATGCCTCTGCCCTCCCCACAACTGGCTGGGCCGGAACAGGGCCACCCGGCAGGACGGCAGGCCACTCTGGGGCCAGCGTGGCCCCTGCCCAGCACCCACCCTGCGACGGCCGGCCCGCTGAAGGCACTGCCCCCCAGGACTATCTTCAGGTCAAGGGAAGAGTGCCTGGCTTGGGGGAGGGGGCGGCATTTCTGGCTGTGAGCTTCCCCCCTGCTCCTTGAAGCCCAACACAGCAGTCGCACGCTGGAGCCCGAGCACGCCTGTGGGACTTTCTATCCACGTGGTTCTGTGACGGGGGCTCCTCTAACTGACCCTCAGCAGAGGCACGGGGCTCCTGTTGGAAGGGCACCCGAGGCTGGCCGGGGCCGCAGCAGGGCAGTGCTGTCGCTTTTCAGCGATGTCTGCCCTGGGCAGCGCTGGCTGCTGGATCACCCCGTGCCTGCAGGCGGACGACCAGGGTGGATGTTTGGGATGGCGATGCCAGTTTGCCGCCTCATCAGAAATAGAAATGTTTCCATCTCTCTGCTGCCCCGGCACCTTCTGCCCCGTACGGCCACATCGCCCTGTTCTTCTAGCTCTCTGTCTGTTTTTTTTTTTGGTTTTGTTTTAAGGGATGCTTGTTTTCATTTGTGTGCATGAGGAACAGAATAGTCTGAGAGATGAGAGCAGGAACGTCAGGCTGGGCCCCAGCCCGTGCCTCGCTCGCTGCATGACCCTGGCGGGGAACCCCTCCCCCCACCATGCAGCTGTCCTGAGGCTGGCAGAGCTCTGGCCTGCGGCCCCCGCTGGACGTGGGCACCGGGGTGTGCTCCGTCAGCGGCTGCCAGTGCTTGTCGTCCTGGCGGCGTAACTAACACTTTCTGCCACCCCCGGAATTATCTATAGTGTGCACAGAGCAGGGCATAAGTCAGCTCGGGCTTTAGCATGATATGGGATTTATTGCTCATTTAAAACCTAAAAGCAAATGGATTTTTGAAAACTCTTTAAGCGTCAGGGAGGTCTGTCTCTTCCTGATTATCTGGTTATATTTATGGATCCTTTGCCAAATATAAGGACGCTCAGTCACTTCACAAATCTGGAGATGGGCCGCTTTTCTATAAATATCAAAATGCCACAATTATTTCATTATTTAATCCCCATCTGAATTTTAACCAATGGCATCTCCCTTGTTATTATTATCCTCTGATGTAACCAGCCCAGAGATACAGAGGCTGAGTTTGGACATTGCATGGGATGGGGGGGCCGGGAGTAGGGCAGGGGGAGGCAGAGGCAAGAGGGGACGATCTTGGCCCCACCTCGGGGTGAATGAACAGTGAGTCCGCAGCCCCTGGCAATGCTCCGGGCTCAGATCCCGCCCCGACACTCTCCCGGCCTGCGATCTTGGGCAGGGTCTCCAGCTCAGGCTGCGAGCCTCAGTTTCCTCATCTATAAATCGGGGCGGATGATTCTTCAGTGACACGGGCTCCTCTGCCCATGTCCCAGCTCTGCAGTACTTTCTGAGCGGTGAAGCCACGTCCGCCCCCTTATTCCCCCCCCCCCCCCCCCCCC